GGCTAACCCATTGCATTATCTATCGTATTTAATTTTTTACTGGCGTGAAGTTAGCCCATTATGTGGGGACGACGTTTTTGTCCTTGCCAAAAGGTGGAATATCTTTGTATTTGGTTCGCATTGAGCGAGATAAGAAGTGCGACTATCAAGTCGATATCTCCGGCTTTATTCATTTGAGTTGAGAGTGCTCGACCCGATATTGGTGGTTCATGCACCTCCCAGATCATGGAGCCGCTCTCTATTCTCTTGCCACATTTCCATCCGTTCGACCTTACTCATCATGCTCATACATATGAGCGGTAGTGACTGGTCATAAAAAAAAGAAATTTTGTATCGCGTTAGTTGTCAGTTCATTATTCACTAAATATACCTATAATAGAGTTATCGTGGCAGTTAAATCTGTAACTTTTCAAATATATTTGCGTGGGGAGTTTCTCTTCTCACTTAAAGCCCACACATATACCTATACTTTATTATAAGACTTTTATATAATTTGCTTCTATCCATCAACGAACCAGAAAGTTGTATTAATTTCATCATTGCGTTTGTTCTTATCAGAAATTTGCTTACAATGTGTACATTCTTCACGAACAAAATCCTTTACCCACCATCTGACCGTCTCAAAAAATGGAGTCAGATGAAATACAAAAATTTAGTAAATATGCAAGATAAAGAACAGGTGCATATGAAGCATCTCCTAAGCAACGGTTTTCTCAAATTTCATTTTGTCCAGGCCCTTGCAAGTAAGTGTTGGCATCAAACGCGAAAAGCGAGCAAAGTGAATGCCCAACTTGATGTCTGATAGACAAAGGCAGGGAAGGAACTTGATGATTAACACTCAATCGACTTTTAAGGCATAGGCCAACAAATGCAAATGACTGGTTGGTTAAGCTACTAATTGTCGACGAATTTTGGGTTTTCTATGAAACCCACCACAGAATTGTAATTCAATTTTCACAAGGCGGCTTCACGACACCAGAAATCGAGCGTATCAAAATGACCTTTAAAAAGATGACAGCCACTAACTCTGGAATAGAGTTGTGCTCAAGTATATCGGCAAGTTGAAGGTGAAATTGATTAGCACAGAGATTAGTAAGATCAATTGTGACCATGTTTTGAATCAAGACAATCGAATGAACAAACCCGTTTGATTTCTGCATTGAAAAACCGTCAGCTTTCTGGAAAAGTACAGTTTCACTATGTGTTGCAAATGTGGTTCCAAACAGGTCGCTCCAATATTCGCCAGAATATTGAAGCCCAGTGTAGAAGACTGGAAAGTGATAAATAACGGCTCACTAACGCTATCATCATGATTAAATAAATCGTACAGGCGGCGGGTATTCATGATTCGTTCCTGCTTTCCTACTGGTTTATCCTCATTCTGTGCAGCATTTTCTTTTATGCCATTTCACTCTCAAATTCGTCCCCTCTCGTGCTCTCCTTATTGTCCTCTCATGTGATACGACTATTTTTCAGTTTGTTTGTTATGCTTTATTTTCGCTACGTTGTAGCGTTGTAGCACTTGTTGTTATTGCTTCATTTCTATACGAATTTTGTTTAACAAAAATTTTTTTCTCTTCTTTTTTTTTTTAAATAAATATCCTTGAGCACGTATAGGCACGTGTTTCATAAATTTGTATATCTCTGAATATGATGAAATGTTTACGAATATATATATGTATGTGTATGCACGTAACATTGAGATTAATGTACGCATTAGTAGATTTAATGCATATCACAAGCATATCACGTTTGGATTTTATTCCTTTTTTTTTTTTCTTTTGATTGTTATTTTTCTTTCGGTAGAGTGAGTCAGAGTCGGCCTTTTGTAAACTATTATTAAGAGGGAAAAGGCATTGTTTGGCACAAATATATTTGCAAATCTAACTTGCGAATCTTAAAGCTTATTATTTAAGATACGCGATCTAGTTACAAATCTATTGCTTCTCTTGAAAGAATTCTAGAAACCTTACCTTGGCCGAGTACTGGGTAATAGGCATAAAAAACGCGGCATAACGTATTCCATTAATCCCAATCAGCGATCGAAAGCGCCCATCATTCCGAAGCAGGTACTAATCAAGTGTGATATCACTACCTCCTGCCTGATGAATGAGGGAAATTTCTTGGTTTTCCTCGAATCGCCTTACTCCGTTGATTATTTTGTACGAGAGGTTTGTGACTTTTTTGGCATTAGAAAGTTGCGGGTATTAATCACAGACTTTAATTCTGTGCATGTGTATTAAAGATGCATATTTTTACTCCTTATTGCTATCAGAACTTCAATAATTTTGTCAGACAAACAAACGAACATAAATGCAGTCTAACGGCTTATTTAATTTTTTCTCCTCACTTCTAGTATTGCCGAACTAAACATGTAAGCATATGATAGTTCGCCTTCACACTCAAATTTACTTAATTCATTTTTTTTTTTGGTTTTTCTGTGATCCGCTCTTCAGGGTATGGCCCTTGTGGCACGATGGCGATCAGGAAGGGTTATAGGAAGATCGTTTGACTTGAAATTGGAGAAATCAAGTACGGTGGACACTCCTGAATTTATTTGGTGGACACATTTAGTTTATCTTCGTAGAAGGCTAGCTCGTAATATATATGCACATAAGATTAACAAAACGCACATTACACCGATGCTCAGGGGCATCGAGAGTTCTGGACACATTCTTTCGTCGCCCATGAGCACTTGAGCCCTTCGCTGTGTATGGTCGAGGGTCTCTAAGTAAAGTTTTTGCTTTAATTTTGGCTGATTATAGGCGGTATATATTTTTCGCCTCGCTTTATATATCTTAGCCCTTGAGTGCGACTTTCAATAACACTTCAAACAGATTTTCTTCCCAGCGAACATCGCTTTGCATTCTCCTGCCCAGACCATCAAAGCTTGACAATTCTTCTAGATTAACACCACCAAAAAAGGGGAGCCTATGCGTCACTTTTCCTGGGCGTTAGGAGACAGCTTTGGGTTTTAGTGGCATTAAAGCTTACCCTGTTTACCCGACCAAAGGAAAAATATAAGAGTCGTTGCTCTTATGATGCTTATGATCAGCGGCAGTTACGCGGCTCTGATGCTTATATTCAATTATAGATCGACTTTCATTCCTTTTTTAAAAACATATTGAGATTACTTTACTACTTGAAACCGCTTTTTTTGTATGAAATATGTATATATATATATGAAATATATATATTAATATATATATATATGAACATCAAATTTTAGCTGTTTGTTAAAATAATTCAGGTTTTACTAGTTGTTAAACGCGAACGACAGGCTAGAGTTTTGCCTTACGGGAGGTTTGTCATTTAATATTTTTCTCCATAATCCGTCGCTTTTTGAGGTTTGTGGTAGTATCTGACACAAATTGATCTACCGATTCAGTTTACATGGAAGCTTTGCTCTCTGAAGGAGTTTTGTTGCCAAAGCCCCATTTCCCTCAACATTTACGTGATATGTCAAGGCAACCTTGAACAAAAAAGTATAACGCGCCATTCCTGTCATGTTACGCAAAAGACGGCTGTTATCAACCTCGCCATTGTTCTTTGAAGATGCAACGAATAAGGGTATACTTAGTGATAAGAAAGTAGTTGTATTCACTAACAATTCCTCCAATAATATTGGTCTTTAGAGAACAAGAAAGGCAAGCCGTCGCAGTTCATATTCCTTGTTAAATTCCTAGCTAATGCCTATTTGGCTGAAGCTATAAACCAAAAAAGCCACAGACAAGAAAGTGATTTTTATCGCTAAAAATGATTTTGATTCAGAAGCCACAAGTTTCCTCGTCAACTTTCCGAATGTGTGCATTTAAGTTAACATGGCTGTGGTTCAGCTTTCGAGCTAACATAACCTTATTTACGTACAAGTTCATTTTTTTGCTGTATTAAGCTGTAAACTATACGATCTACAGTTCCTAAGAAAAACTTTTTACAGATGACTTCGGGTCGCTACCTATCGGATCCTTGCGAATGGAATACGAATTCTTAGGTCATTTGTACATTTTTCAGCCTAAAAGCATTAAAAACTTCTTAGATCAATTCTCTTCGACTGTTCTTCACGGGGCTTAAATTCGTCCATTTCACGTAAATTGCCGACAGCTGTCGTAAAGAGTTTAGTGTTTCTTGAGAGATGGGAAGGCTTGATATTTATTTGCCAAAAGGCAAGCGATGGTAAAGCGCAACAACATAATCCCAAGAAAGAGCAAACAAAAGCAGGATTCCCCTAAGAAAGAGAAGAACTTGTATATCTATCTCTAGGTGGCTTTATTTTCTAGAAGATAATAAGGTATAAGTATGGAGTGGACTTACACTGAATTAAACACCGAACGATAGTGAAGAACAGCAACATAACCAAAAAACTGTTCTTATATCTATCTGCAGATCAGGCATGGGCAATCGCCTCCCCATGAATACGTTCAAAATTTCAAATAATTCAGTTTGCTCGCACATAGCAATACTGCAAATGAATTGTATCAGCCTTCATTACCGGCTTAGCTGTGTAGCTATCAAATATAAAATGTGCAAGAATGCCGCAGTTTCGATAATAGTTGGATCCTTGTTCGGGCCCCGTCGTGACAGTGAAATTAAATTTGGCCCGTTGATGAAAAGAGTTGCCCATAGTGGCTGTAGATGGCTTAATCTTCTCGATAAAAGTAAAACATAAGTAGCATTTTTCGTAAAAATTTCTCAGACTGTGCTGAATTAAGCAGCAAGCGAAAGTGAAAGGCAACCGTGTAATTTCTGAACGTCCGTAATTACGTATGAGTAAAATCTTTCGTAAACTTTATTTAGACCGATCGACTTGTATCGAATTAATGACGAAATGAAACGTGGGAGCTACGAAGTAGTCTCAAGAGGTTTCTTATATCCATCTAATAATTATAGATGGATTTCTCTTGCAGATGGAAATAAGATATGAATAAAATGTTTTATAAATTTTATTTTAACTAAATTTAAGACTTAAAATAATATATTTAATATTTTTATTTTAATTGCAGCATATGGCCGTGCACCACCTGAACCCTATTATGGTCGTTACGTCGGACAATTTACAAATTTCGCTCATGGTATTAAGGTAAGTACGTATGAATATCACTTTCAAATCTTTTTCTTATACGAACGCACGTATCGTATGAAATGAAAATTCTTTTTTTTTGGAAGAACATTGGGAGGAGAGGAGGGAGTGGGTTTAGTTGGTCTCCATATTATGTAAAAGAAAAACTAAATTATCTTCTTTCACAAAGGGTTCCGTTTATGCTGTGGATGAATCAACACTTTTTGTCAAATCTTTCGCTTACGATGGTACGGGACCGGATGCATTCTTTTGGGTTGGCAAAACACCGCGTCCAAGTCCCGAAGGATATATTATACCCTACCCAGAGGATTATATGGGAATGTAAGTACATTAAAAGTTGTACACACGCACACACATACATATTCAGATACACTTGTTTACTTGTGGCTTTTCATATTCCATATGAAATGCATTCGCTTCAACACATGTTGACGCCGAAGCGCATTTCCGTTACGTATATGAGATGAGAGAGAGTTGAGAGTTTACGATGATGTTGTTGTATTATATTGTATTGGAGTGCTAGATGTAAGTTTTCTATATATTTGGACCAAAACAAAAAAAAAAAAAAAACAGAAAAGAAAAAAACAAGAGAAATGGGTTACAGAATATATTTGTACACAGAAACACCCAGCGGGTGGTGCATTGGTGGTGAAACAGGCGTTGGTGGTGCCTGTTGTATTGTTAAGCAATGTATGAGTTTGCGGTTATTTGCGAAAATGCTTTTTAAGCATTTTTTATTTCTCATGTGTATAAGCAAGTTTGTATGTCTGTCTGCCTTTTTGTGTTCCTTTTTTTTCGATTTTTTTTACACTTTATTTTTTTTTTTGTTTTGAAAACCATTAAAAAAAAAAAAAAAAACTGAACGAAAATTTATGGTGCGTTGATATTATATAAAGTTCCTGTAAGTGTCTAAATGTCTAAAGAGAAATTCGTGCACAATGGATTCGCAAGTCAAGTATTATGAACAGAACGCACATATATGCGGCTTTTTTTTCTTGTTGTACAAGTAAGTTAGCATAAAGAAAGAGTGGGTAAAAGAATAGAAGAAAATTCTTAAAACGTATATCACTGCTCAGTTACGCACGGTTTGACAGTGGTAACCACTTTGATAAATTAAAAAGATTTCTCATTTTTAAGTTAATATATGTAACAAGTGCGCACACACAAAAAACACACGCAAATAAGGAATCCAACATATATATATTGTATGTCAAAGTATCTGCTATTTATCAAATTTTTTTCGTTACATTTCTATGGTTTTTTTTCTTAATTCATTGCCTTAGTAGTAATAACTAGCCAAGGCGTGAAATATCCATATAAAAATATAATAAAAGATGCATACCATATGTACATGTATGTATGTGTGTACGTATGTATGTACGTATGTATATATGTATGTATATATGTATAAAAAGAAAATCCACTTGTGATATTAATGGACTATTTTTCCTTACTGTTACTGTCGTTTTAAAATGTAACCTTTCTTAAGTGCAAACATCAAGGCTACCGAATGTTCTATGTGTACATCGGTTTGTGTGCATTTTGTGGAAGCACGAGCAATGAATGATTCTTAGTGGAATCAGTTCAGGTGGTGATGTATGATCTTAATCCTTCATCTTTAAGTTGCTTAATTGACATCGTTTGTCGTTACAAAAATAAAGAAAAAGAAAAAAGGAAAAAAAAGAAAAAAAACGAAAATAGAAAAACAACAAACAAAATGAATGTTGAACATACGATGCCTTCACCTTAATCTTTTCATATACATGCATGTATTCGCTTGTACGCGTTTCATTCTCTACAGCTTAAGGATTAATGTGTGCAATGATTATTGTTTTATCATTTACTTAGCTCAAAATTGTAGCATAAAAACTGTGAAAAATAATTTCAAACAATATGTACTTACAACCAATTTTGAATATCTAACGCATTCAATGTCAGTTCACTTACATAGAGCACACGTTAAAAAAAACACATATGTGTACATAAATACATCTAAAGGTCATGCGAGAAATTTTGGATCAAATGACAGATAAATTTCGCATATAGCTTGCAAGCTGCTCTAATGAAAAAAAGAAAAAATGTCGTCATATTTGAAGAATTTTATCGGCTTTAACAACGATTGGTCGACCAAAACTTGCCGCATATTTAATATCATCACAAAACAACCAAGCCTTGTTTTCAAAGCTCCATCGCTTTCAACTGAGTTAATAAATGTTACAATTATAAAGTTTTCTTCTTGTTTTTTCTAATTAGATGATCATTTAGGCGACGCTTTCTATACGAGTAGCACGATGACGGTCAAGAAAAAGAGACGAAGGAGAAAGAGATAGAGAGATGATGCATCGTAGTTGCCTTTACTGATTGAGTACTTTAAACTCTATCGAACTGAATTTTGAATTTGCGAACATTAACTTGGCAGCCCCGATTCTTATAGCTTCATTGAGGTAGTGTTGCCAGGGTTGTGTGGTATTGAAACTATCTATTGGGAAAAACATCATGAACTTTTCCTTGACTATGACCTAATCTATTACGTAAACAATAAAAACAATTAGACGAGAGAGATAGACAAGAAAAGAGAAAAACCACCGAAATTTCTTTCTTGGCAGTCCACTAGTGTGTAAATTACATAAGAGCTCATAAATGAAGCTGTAATTATATAAATAATATAAGAAAGAAGTGTAGAGTAAGGTAGCAGTGTGCACAACAGATGCATGTTAAACTAAATCTACTTCTCTCTCTAAATCGCTTAAAATCAGCCAAAAATGTTCAAAATCCTGCTCAGCTCTATCTTCAAGAAATTCTAAAAGATGAAATGATCAAATAGTATGTTTATAGACGCCATCGAGGCGAAGTGGTGGCTTACTGATAATAACACTTTATTGCTTAAAAATTTGATGATATTTAGCTGACAAAAAGCCCAATGGATTCGTAAGCGATCCGTTAACCATAAATAAGAATTTTCATCAGTGCTTGTGTAGTGGTAAGCAAAAATAATTTTTTTTTTGGGCTTATGGGGATATTAACAGATAAGAGTTTTCATAATCTTTCACAAACTTAAGTAAAATTAATACTTTTAGCTATAACTGACTGCTTTCTGCTTAATTCCAAGGCTAGTGCAGCAAGAGTTCAAACGGATAATGAAAAATGCACCCCAAAGTGTAGCTAACTGTAATGTTAATTAGGTGAACCATTAGTGAGGACGGTTTAAACATTTTACCCTTATCGTCCCACTTGCGGATTTTTTAAAGGCATCCTTGACACATTTTCGTCGCTCGAATTTCTTTGCTTACTTAAAAGACGCTTTCGAAATTAAAATAGCTCAGCGTGGAATTTGCAATTAAGGTTAAGATTTGCTTGAATTTAGTTGCGAAGTGTAGCAAGTTTCATATAGCAAAGTACTGAGAAACGTTCACAAATATTCATTTGTGCTACTAACCCTCACCATCAGGCCACGTTGAGTCTTTGACGAGCATTTGAACTTTGAACTTAAATATTTTGATTAGTTCACATTGCATATACTTTACTTGAAGTCAACAATTGGCCCAAAATTTGGACAGGTATGTGTTGAGAAAGTGTGCAGGAGCATAACTGCACACACATATTAATTGATTCCTTTACGAGCCGTGAACTGAACTAAAGTTTATGCAGACCTACAATGCATTTGTAATGTCTGTTCAAATTTGATGACTGAATGGTTTTGCACGCGCAATGGTGTTGAAAATCACATAAATCGGCCAAGGGTTATGCCTGTAGGGACATCGTGGTGTGGTTTGTTAAAAAAAGACGACCCGATAGTTTAATTTGGATTAAGTAGTAGTTTAGAGCAGCGGCAAAGGTTATATAGAAGTGATAAATGCTTTTGCGATTGTCAGACAGACAATAAAAGAAAAAGCTTACTCCGATGTGTAACATATATATGTGCCCATAATTATTAAATTGGTCTAAGTCAAGATTAAAAAAAAATGAGTTTATCGGTTATTTCACACACACCTTATTTTAAGCTAAATTAATTTAATGTAATTTTTATGATGTCCACAAAATTGAACCATTAGGTAGCGATTCAACACTATATGGAATTCATCAAGTGTTAATTATGAAAGTGGTCTAAGTCGAAAATTTAAAGAAATTATATGAACATAATTTTTAATTCCTGAAGGGATGAAAAATCGAAGCATGCAGTAATGAGTTGTTGCAAAATGCCGAACGAGCTAGGAATTGTCTTGCCGGTGGATCAGAAAAAGGCAAAGGAAAATCCCAGGGTGTATTACGGATTCGCATTTGATTTGCAACAAACACACGCGTGTCCAAAACTTTCTGTTTCGTTAGCCTATTATAAGTGAAACATGCACGCATACAACCTTGGTTTCTACAATTTCCGCGATGACAATTCCAAGATGTATGTAGGGCACGAAACTACAGCTTCAAGAGCTGCACATCAAGTAGTATCATCTATTTTGACGCATATGGAAGATAGTAGTTACAACTACTCAAAAGCATGTAATAGCTTACAATGATGCTTGTTCAGACCAAAATCGTCACATTAAAGTAGCATTGACATGGAAGAAAATTGTTCAGTCATCAAATAAAAATATTGAAATGATAGACAACAAATTTTTGGCATCTGTGATTTTCGTTTGATAGAAATGAAAATAAAAAAAGCAAATTACATTCCACGTTTTGGATTTTTCACCTAAAAAAGGAAGAACAAAATTATACGAAAATATGAAATTACTTTCATTATGCATCACTAGACCGGTAACGGAAGAAAAAACATAAAAATATTTGCTATCATAAGTCCCTCGAGGTTTTTAGGAACATTTTAAAAATCTTAAGACCTCGTAATAATAAAAATGGATTAACTTTTAAAAATAATTATTGATGAATATTTACATCAATTATTTCTTTAAAATTATTGTTTCTAATAAAACTCATAGTTTTTAACTGCATTAAGTCATTTATAGGACATTCAGTTAATTTTGGAAATGGTCTAATTCAGTGTAAACAATATTTTTGTATGAAATTCATGCAAAACTTCATACTCATGATAAATACCGGTTAACCAAGACTGGATAGAATTCTAAATTAAAATATCGGAAAATATAAAAATATATTTCGATTTGTTCAAATGCAGAAATTCTTTGAATATTTAGGAAACAAGAAATATACTTGACTTAGGCAACTTTCATATAACCACCGCGAAACACTTCTTACCATCCCGCTTATAATATTTCGTGTAGAAAGCAAAATTTCTTTTTTTTTTTTTTTCTTATAAATAATTGGGTTTTTTGTATAAAACTCACGTACCTTTCTGAAGTTACATG